AAACCCCCTAGTGTTACAGAAATACCATGTACTACTTATGAAGAACTTGGACTAAGACTGTTGGCAATAAATTTGGGACTTGTTGGGCCCACCTCCCCAGGGGTCTGCCCACCAGGGAAAGCACCAAAGCCTATACCCCTGGAGACCCACAGGGCAGTCCCAGGGAAGGCAAGCAGTAGGGCTGGGAGGACATAACCTTTACTGGGTAGGATAATCTCCTTCAGTCACTTCCTTGTAGCCTATCCAAGAGCAGTGACCTTGGAATAGCCCTTGTAATGGAACACGGAGATTAACCTAGACAAGATTAAAATCAACAGAGCTAGATAGAGACAGGATTTTTGGCTAAGGTCAGATAAGAAACAAGGAACTGTAGAACGTTACCCAAAACATACCATGATGTGATTATAGAGGCATGATTATAGGATCAAATGGTATAAATACAGATGTAATAGGAGAATTAAAAAAGAACCTCGCTATGCTGATCAACTGAACGCTGTCTCCGTGTCATTCCATCTTTGCCGACTCCGTCCACACCTTTGGGAACACCTGGACCTCCTGAGGCTGGAACCCAACAGTTGTCATAGCACCAGGCCCTGTCCTGCTTCCATAGGTTTTTCTGAGAAACATGGTGTCCCCACTCCCACTAGACTATCAGCTCCTTGAGGTCAGGCCCCATATCTGTTTGTAATACCACTACATCCCCAGTGCCTAGCACAGTATATGGTATAGAGTAGATGCTCAGTAAATACTGTCTGAAATGAATATTTCCTCCTCTCAGTAGCCGTACTTACCACTCCTCTTGCTCTGAGATCCAGCCTACCTTTCTCCCATGACAGTGTTTGTTGTATCTCAGTACAGCTCACACTGAGCTGTCCTAGTTATGTTTGTCACCCTCTCTGAGGATAAGGCTCAAGTTCTATTCTTTTTTTCCTACCCCTGGATCCCAGTTCATAAGCTGGTGCAGAGTAAGTTATCCATTGTGGACCGAGAGGAAGAGTGGAGAGTGAAAATGCATCCTGGCCATAAGAGTCCCCCATCGGATGGTGTTCAGAGGGCCAAAGAGGCTTTTGGGAGAACCAGGACTCTCACATAACTGGACATTTCAGTCAGCCTTCAGGAATGGGTAGATCCAGGGGCTCACACACAATGGCATCAGGGCATGGTCTCTGTCCTTCTCTCAGCACTATGTTTTGCTGTGTTAGCTTCACTCTTAGACAAACTTTCTCCCTATACTTTCTAGGAGAAAGCTCTTCTAGGCCGATATCTTCCCAGCTGGGGGTCCAGTGAAAAAAGAAATTCCCCAATAGTTCAAGCAAAAGTTTACAAATCGAATCCCATTGGAGCAATTGGATCACATCCCCACTCCTGAACCAATCACAGAGATTTCACTTCGTGAACCAGAGCCTGGCCTTCCGCCATCCTGCTCTCCCCGTGCCAGCCCAGACCCACTGGACCGCTAGCCAGAGAGCTTGGACTCCGTGCTCTGGGATGGAGTCCCCCCCCACCAAGCTCCTTGTACCAGGGAGGACCCGCCCCGTGGAGAGGCACTTAGCCTTGATGCTGGTTTCCTGTCCCTGCCTTTCCTACCAAGACGTCATTGGCCTTGACTCCCTTCCTGACTTTCCTATTTTTTCTAGCTCCTATTAAGGAGGCTGCAGGACCATGGAAGGCTTCTCCAATAACCCCAGCATTTCAGGCTCTATCTCCCTATTGGTTAGAGACTCCCTCACAGCTTTAGAGAATGATGCTTATTTTTTTTAATGTATTAGTCTGTTGGATGGATGGATGGATGGATGGACGGTGGACAGATGGATGGATGGATGAAATGCGGGGTGGATGAATTAGTTTCAGGTTCCCTCAGAAAACCCTACCTCCTTGTCTTCTCCTCTTTACCATCTTAGGCTCCAGATTACTGTAAAAATAGAAAGCACTTTTTTTTGGTCTGAAATCAGTTTCCAAGTCCTCCGTTATCATAACAATGACTAATATTTAACATGGCTAATTTTTATCAGGCGCTTGCCCTGCTTTAGTCACTGAGCTAAGCCCTTGTTCAGTCTTCACAACAACTGCAAGGTCTGGGTGCTGTTATTGTCTGCAATTTACAATTACGAAACCAAGGCTCAGAGAGAGCAATACCTCCAGGCACACGGCCAACGGCAGGCCAGGACTCAGAGCTGCGACCCGCAGGTTACCAGGCCTGTGAGCAAGGGACCTCAGGTCCACCCACACCAGTTTTCTCATTCTCCCTGTCCCATGCCATCTCTGTCCTCACTCATGCGGCTCTGCCTAGAAGGGGGTCTTTCTTCTTTCCCTCTTGTGTAGACTGAGAGCAGGAAATATCTTTGTCTGGGCAACGCTAGGCTTCATTGCTTAACAGATGAACCCCCAAATCTCAGTGGCTGATCACAATGAAGACTTTTTTTCTGGTTCACGACAGACAGAATCAAGTGCCTTCCTCCCTCTCGGAGGTGACCTCCCACAGGGGGAAGGGGAGGTGCAATGTGGAAAGTGGGCTCTTATCTGCCTCAACCTAGAAGAAACCATGTCTTTGCTGCTTACATTTTGTTGACCCAACCAATGAGTGCATGGACATTCGGTGAATACATTCAGTCTCTGCGAAGGAGGTAGCAGCAGGTAAACACATAGTCATTGCGGGGGCGGGGGAGGGCGGGCAGGGTGAAGGCAAAGGGGCCAACATCCAGGCTGGTGGTTGGGAAGTGGGGCGGGGCGGCCAGGATTCTGTGATTAACCAAGTATAGAAACTCCCAAACCCAGCACCGGGGGTGGTGCCCCGTTGCTATTGTCTTAAATATTGCTCAGAAGAACTGAGCCAACACTGAACTTCTTGGCCAAGACTCGGAACTCTTGTTATCTAGGATTGGGGCTGCTAATTACAGGATTTGACCTGAACGAAGCGAACAATGTAATAAGAATAACAGTCCCTGACTTCTCAAACGTTAGGGTTTGTAAATCATTCCCACAGCCGTAATCTCAGACCCTTCACAATAACCCTGTGACGTGGGTATTTTATCTCCATTGTATGGTGAGGAAATCTAGAGTAACATGATGTAATGGGCCAAAGTCCCACAGAACCTGTGCATGCGGGAGTACTTCTCGGTGTCTGTTTCCTGCATCCACGCTCAGAGCTCGCTCTTCCCCCCCTCAGCTGCCTCCCCTGCAAATTTCTATGGAAAATGATGATGTGAAAAGGAACATCAACATGATTTGGATTCAAGAGCTCGGTGCCCTGGGCATCGAGATGGAGGAGTGTAAAAGTGCAGGTGTTAAAGACAGGCAGCCTGGGTTTGAATCCCAGCTCGGCCACCTGCTAGCTGGGTGAGAGTTGGCAAGCTAATCTATCAGGGCTCGCTTCCTTCCCTTGGGACACAGGGATGAACTGTGTCTAACCCATACGGTTAGGGCGAGGATTTAATGAGATAAGGAACATAAAATGCTTAGCACAGTGCTTGGCTCAACATTAGAGCTTAATGAACATTCAAAAATGCTGCTGAGATCCTTCTTGGAGACAGAATGATGCCACTGTTGCCCTACCCAGTTTGGCTCAGTGGGTAGAGCATCGGCCTGAGGACTGAAGGATCCCGGGTTCAATTCCAGTCAAAGGCACATACCTCAGTTGCTGGCTCAATCCCCAGCCCTGGTCTGGGAGGATATGGGAGGCAACTAATCGATGTGTTGCTCTCATATCGATGTTTCTCTCTCTGTCTCACCCCCTCCCTTCCACTCTCTCTAAAAATCAATGGAAAAATATCCTCGGGTGAGGATTAACAACAAAAATGATGCCACTGTCCCTTCCTTCCTCCCCAGGCCATGATGGTGTGGCACCACATTACACCGTTGGCTTCAGCAGGAGAACAATCTGACCCCTCACCCAGCTTCGCACACTGCTGCCTACAAGAAGGGGATGCTCTTTTTTTTCTTTTTTTAAAACTACTTTATTGAGGTGTGATTGGCATACAAAATGCTGTACGTGTTTAATGTATACAATTTGATGAGTGTGGAGATAAGTATATATCCATGAGACCATCACCACAGCCTACACTATGCCATAATATGTCCATCACCTCCAAAAGTTTCCTCTTGCCCTCGTTATTTGTGTGTGTGTGATGAGAACACAACGCAAGATCTACCCTCTTAGCAAAGTTTCAAATACACAATACAGTACTGTTCACTGTAGGCATTATGCCCTGCAGATCTCCAGGCTTTAGCCTAACTTTGTGCCCCTTGACCAAGACCTCTCCATTTCTCCCTCCCCCCAGCACCTGACAACTACCGTTCTCCTCTCTGCTTTGTATGGTTGACTATTTAGATTCCACATATAAGGGAGACTATGAAGTATGTTTTTGTCCTTTTGTGTCTGGCGTATTTCACTTAACATAATGTCCTCTAGATCCACCCACGTTGCTGCAAATAGCAGAATTTCCTTCTCTTTTCAGGATGAATAATATTCCGTTGTATATAACCAAAGCTTCTTGATCAAGTCATCTGTCGATGGACACTTAGGTTGCTTCCACATCTTGGCTATTGTGAATAAGGCTGCAATGAAAGGGAGTGTAGATAGCTCTTCATGATCCTGATTCTAATTCTTTCACTGTAGCTCACCAATGGGGCTGCTGAATCAGATAGTACTTCTATTTTTATTTTTAATATATTTTTTAATTGATTTCAGAGAGGAAGGGAGAGGGAGAGAAAAATAGAAACATCAATGATGGGAGAGAATCATTGATTGGCTGCCTCCTGCATGCCCTACACTGGGGAACGAACCCACAACCTGGGCATGTCCCCTAACCGGAATTGAACCCTGACCTCCTGGTTCCTAGGTCGATGCTCAACCACTGAGCCACGCCGCTGGGCTATTTTTATTTTGTTTCCTTGTCTGGGGATCAGCACTACTGCCCTCCAGGGGCCACCTTGTGCCATGCCATGGTTACCCTCAAAGTGTTGCTGTGAGGAGTGGCTCCCAAAATGAAAGTTGGGGAGGAGAGCACTCCACTCCTGGGGCAGGTGAGGCTGTGAGGGTTGCGAGTCCCACAGGTGACTCTGATATGTGACTCCATGCTATGGCACTTGACACCCACTGTCTTAGGCAAAACTCAAGAAAAGAAAAATGAGGGGAACAGGCAAACAGGAGGGTCCTTTCTGTTTCACCAGCACCAGGAATGCATGTGAGCTGTTTCCGAGGGGGTCAGCTCTGCCTCACGGATGAGCCAAAGTCTTGTATCTGACACTGTTCTCCAGCCAATAAACACAGGAACCAGGAAGCTATGAAATGGCCTTTCCTAAAGATTCTCATAAACAAAAATAAACTGATGAACAAAATAGATCCAAAGACATAGAAGCATGGAACAGACTGTGGAATCTCAGAGG